CCGCGCGCGCGCCATCCTCTTTCGCTCCCTCCGCCGACGGCCGCCTCTTAACGGAAGTGGCCTCCTTCTAGCGGCACTTCCGGCCGCCGTCCTGGCGGGGGCTTTAGGTGGGTGGGAGCTCTGTGGTGCTGTTCCCCTTGTTTTGACCCCCCCTCCCTTCTTCTCTTCTGTGTTTTGAGGGGTCTTTTAAAAGGAAAGGCGTCGGGGTGGAGGAGGAGGAGGAGAAGAAAGAGGAAGTGTATCCCAATCTTGCTTACCGATCTGCCTGAAAAGGAAATCTTGGGAGAATAATAATACGTTTTGTTTTTTAAAAACCCCTACTCGAAGCCGGAGGTGCCTCACAGATACCAGGGAGAGCGAGGCAGGTCCTTGAAAAACAAAGCCGTCCTCTTCTTCTTTTTCGAACCTCCTCATTTTATTTGAAGGGCAGGGTTTGAACTAGCCGGGTTTGTGCCTTTAAGAATGGTGTGATCTATATTGGGTGATGCATAAAGGGTACATGGGTGACCATTGAATAGACACCACCACAACACTGTGCCTGTAAGCAGTTGGCCAGCAGATAGTTTGTATTTCTCTTTTTGATCTGTGAGGAGACTCTTATCATGTCCTTGGATCAGGGAGGAAAGTGTGGTTGGGGGGGATCTTCTCCATTTTGTAAAACACCCCACATAGGAAGCAGTAAACTGGTTTATCACTTGGCATCTGCTCTCAGTATTTACTCAGTGTTGTCAGTTTCATCCGTTAAGCTGCTATCAGAAACGCAAGAGCAAGCCAGATGCTGTTTCAGGTTGGTTTGCAAGTCGAGTTTCCATTGCTTGCAGGTTCAATTGTTCAGAAAGGGACACACTTTTTTTCATGCAAGATAAGCATCTTTTTAGCTTCTTCTCATCCTAGGGAAAAAAGTGGCAGGTTCAATTGTTCAGAAAGGGACACACCTTTTTCATGTAAGATAAGAATCTTTTTAGCTTCTCATCCTAGGGAAAAAAGTCAACTGACCTGTCTCATTGTGTGCTGATTTTTTGCTGTTGTATGCCATCAAGTTACTTCCAACCCATAAAACTCTATGAATGTGTAGGCTCCAAAATGTCCTAACATGCTGCTATGAATGTGTAGGCTCCAAAATGTCCTATCGTTAACATGCTAATTTACTTGGAAGGAACTGTGTATTGTAAACACTACATGACCCAGGTTTACCCAATGCAGGGGTGCCTAGTACAAAGATTGTACATTAAGTAGGTGCACCTTCTACTGTATTCTGCACAGAAGTGTTAATTTATCTATAATGGCTAATGAATGAAACTATCAAATGATTATGTGCTCTAATAGTACTGGCTTCCATGTAGACAGTACCCTTAGACAAGTTTAGGATCAATGTGATGATACAGCTGTATATAGATGTATTAATTGCCATAGAATGTATAAATACTGTAAATACAGAAAATAAGTGATAGGTTTTCCAATTTTTGGAATGCATGATCAATCTGTGAGGGTGGACTAGAAGGCCAGTGTTCAAAGGCTTGTAACATAATCTCAAAACAAAGAGATACTTTAAAGAAAGCCCTTTAGCAACCCCATACACATCTTCAGCCACTAATATATTATTTCTTGATGATATACTTCATTTGGTTCCATCACACACTCCTTTGGCTCTTGAAATGAATTCCAAAGTTCAGTTTTGTTATATGCAGGCAGTAGAACACTTTAAAAAGTAGTATTCTACTTATGTGCTTTCCTAGTTTTTTCTGAATCATGAATACTGTTGTTTCTAAATGTAGAGTGGTTTGTCAGTCTCCAGATTAATCTACTTCTGTGTCACTCTCCTTAGACTCCTTGGTTTTAAAAGCCGATAATTTGACTTTTTGTAGAAGATAATATTGACATCATATAGATTTGTTTCTAATTTCAGATTGTTGACATTGTTATTGGAAAAGATGAGAAGGGCAGGAAGATTCCAGAATATCTGATCCATTTTAATGGTTGGAACAGAAGGTGAGAATGTGTTTAATATGTTGGGCTTATTGGTACACTTTTTAAAAATTCATGAAAATGCTTTGAAAATATAATGTGAGATATTCTTGTTGTGAGAAATGCTCATATTTGTAATAAGCATTTTATGGAAGTAAGACAGCGGTTTTAATAATTCATTATGAAGGAACAATGTTTGTGGCTAGAGTGTACGGGCTATCTTTAGTATAGCAGTAGGGAAATGGATTGTCTGCTGTATGCAGTGTTTTGAACATACCCTAATCTGTCCTTTGAGATTAGTTCAGGAATGTCTGCAGTGTCTGATTAACTTTCATAGTCAGCTCAGTTAAAAAGAGTATAGGTTAGCGAGGTTGATGGCACATACTAGCCATTCTGTTTTGTACAAAAAATGGATCAGAAGATAAAAATATTTGTAACAGTGATGTGCCTAAATGAATAAGAAGTCTAAAAGGCTATCATTCACAAAAATCAACACACATCCCAACACACGTGTTGGTGCTCCAAACAAGAAACCAGATAGTGCAGCTGAGAGATACTACCTTCTTCCAGAAAGTAGGACTTGCACTCTTCTCTATTGTGGATGTTTTGTTTCTTTATGGATTGATCTGAAATAAATCATTTCAACCCTCCTTAGTTCCAGCATTAGTTTGATCTTATATCACTTGGTTTGTCTTTGATTCTTTTGTTTTTAACAGCTGGGACAGATGGGCAGCCGAAGATCATGTTCTTCGTGACACTGATGAAAATCGTAGATTACAGCGTAAATTGGCAAGAAAAGCTGTGGCTCGCATGTAAGGATCAAATATTGCTTTCAAAGTTTTTACCAATGAATACATACTGAGCAAGAATACTTCTTTGTAGTTGTGGTTTCTCTGTTTGAAATAGATGTCCTCGGTAGTTTCAGACAATATCCCTTCATCAGATGAACTTTTACATCTTGTGTCAGTATAACCTAAAATAAATAATGTGAATCATTTATTGCCCTTCTATTGAAGAAGCCCACACATAGAGATTGTATTCTTATTTGGAATGTTAGAAATGAGAGGGCTCCCTGACAAGTCATACTTACCATTGTGTTGCTCCCTCCTATTGCAAATAAGAGCTACCATCTCTGTGTCTCCTCTTTTTTCAGGTGCAGGCAACTTTTTTTAGTCACAAAGAAATATGTTTTGCTTGCTTAATAACAGTCATCTGTGTTTAGTCAAGTGTCCTTTTTTTCCAGAAAGCATCGTAGTTGGGTTATAGATTTGTAAGCACAAGGTACATAGTGCAGGGATGGGGAATCATTTGATATTTGGGAGAAAGAGGGTGACAGCTAACATTGCTAATCAGGTTTTAAAATAGTGGTGACACGATAAGTGGTCAGTCAAAGTGTTGATCATGTTGACATCCTGCTATCATTGATGTCTGTGCTCAGATATTTATGTGAAGCAAAAGTAGTTTTGGGTTATAGTTATACTAAGTACAGTGGATAAACCTGGAATATTATTATGTATGGTGTACTAAGAATCCTTGGTCCCTATTTAATTTCTTTAATATACATTTGGATTTGTGCATAAAGCTTATTTCTGCCTTTGTAGTCCCATTATTCCATTACAGCTACTTTGAAATCTATAACAGTATTGTGGGTAGTTGATGTGTTCTGAACCCAAAATTCTTAACAATAAAAATGCATTGAAGAAAATGACTTTCTAATCCTGTATGCATATTAAGAACATACAGAAAAATATCCCAATTGCTCATGTAGCCAAACCAGTCTGAAACTATAACATCCTTGCGGATTGTTTTGCTGGAAATGAAGCATGCAGCTGTGCTAATACATGATCGTTGTTGGTATCCAGTGTGTTTGGTGTGGCATGAAGCATTGTTGCGATGTGTTGTGAGCTGAATGTGTCTTCCTATATTATATTTTTTCAGTTGATTTCCATTCCTTTCCAACTATAAACAGTCTTTTCTCTAAGGATCTGGAGATCCAGGGGCTTGGAGTTCCAAGGGAAAAAAATTTAATAGCAAATTCTGTTGTTACGCCTACTGTAAGTCCAAGGGCTTATAACTCAAAATCTGGCAAGCTGCCACAGTGATGATAATATCATTATTTTGACTAAAATTTTGCAAAGCCTGAAGGAATTGAGGCCTGTAGCCAACATTCCCTCTAAGCTGCACTAGTGTACAGTGGACCCTCGACCTAAAGACTTAACCCATATTGGAACGGTGGTTGCAGGTCGAAAAGCCCATAGGTCGAGGGTCCATTTCCCATAGGAATGCATTGAAAACCCATTCAGTAACCGGCCAAAGAAAAAATACCCCCGACCAAAAAAGAGAGAAAGAAAATAAATGCAAAAAGCAGCACCTTACCGGTCCGAAGGGGTCCCCTGCCACTGCCATTGCTGCTGCCTGAGGCCTCCGAGGGGTTCCCTGCCGCTGCCGGAGGCCTCTTGGAGGTCCCCTGCCCCTGCAGGCTTTCCCAGGGTGGACTGGGCCTAACAGGGGAGGGCTTCCCCTGGTAGGCCCTGTCTACCATGCTTTCCCAGTGGGTAGACCAGGGGAAGCCCTCCCCTGATAGGCCCGGTCTTCCCCCCCCCAGGAAAGCCTCCCATGGCGGTGGAGAAGCCCTGGGAGGCCTCCGGAGATCCCCGCTGCTGCCACTGCTGCTGGGAGCTGAGCCACACCAGGAGATCCTGGCCATGCTCGGACTCCTGGACTGCCGCCGCCGCTGCTGCTGGGAGCCGCGCCACACTCGGACAGCAGCGGCAGCGGGGGAAGTCCAGGAGTCTGAACATGGCCAGGATTGCCCGGTGCAGCTCGGCTCCCAGTAGCAGCGGTGGCGGCGGGGGACCTGCGGAGGCCTCCCAGGGCTTCTCCGCCACCATGGGAGGCTTTCCGGGGGGGGGAGTCCGGGCCTATCACGATCGTCGAGGGGGGGCAATGGGTAGTCGACCTACGGACCGGAAGGGGGAGGCAGGGAAAACGCCAAATTTGAATGCTTTTCCCGCCGCAAGTCGATGGGAAATTTTGCGGCTGGAGAAGTCCAGAAATCGTAAAGTCCACAGGTGGGGACATCTGTAAGTCGAGGGTCCACTGTACAGCATTGTGTTGGTTAGTGTTGGCTTGTTGGTTTGGTCCAATATGTTGCCACTCTTTTGGTTTTGGTTGCAGCCAGAACTTTGTGCATGTGGGTGGGTTTTCTGCTCAGTGCTGGTGGAAAATTAGGCGGAATGTTGCCTGTAGCATAAATCATTTGATGCACCAAGGTCCTAGGACACCAGAATGCTGTATCAGAAGGTATTAGGACTACAAAGAGTGCAAATTATATGTTCCATATCCATATTTACAAATTTCAACATAAACTGTCGGCAACATTATTTAGTGTGACCTTGTTTGCTTGGAGAGCTGGCAAATTGTTTTGCAATTACTATAATAAATGATTGTTCAAGCCTCAATTCTAAAAGCACTTTCTTTGTTAATGCTACTTTTCTACGCCCCTTAAATATTTTAACACACTATGCACATGATTTTACATCTTGACAGAGTAAGGATGCAAGGAGAATCCCACAGCTCAGAGCAGCCACTAAAAAGACCCACACTCTTGTATGCTTTCCAAGTGTGCCTATGAGGGTGGTGAGACTGAAAGAAAAGCCTCCCTTGAAAGACCTTAAAACCCAACCAAGATCATATTGGGTGATATGGTCTTTCTGATAGATTGAACCCAAGCCATGTAGAACTTTGCAGGTTATCATCAGCACTTTCAGTTGATTTTAGAAATGGACTGGGAGCCACTTAAGTTGTTCTAGCAAAGAATTTCTATTCTCACTATAACTGGCTCTGGTTAACAGTCTGCCTGTTCTTTCAAGGTCAGAAGAAAGTCAAAATGCAAGCATGCCCTCATATGTCTTCAAATATTCTATTTCACTTTTTGAACACTTTGAAGAAAGATACCACACCTTTTACTTGGCTGAAATTTTGAATCTCCTTTAGGAGAAGAAAGGGAAAGAAAGGGCGTTGCAGATTGCCTGGTGTTGATTCTGTATTGAAGGTCCTTCCAACTGAAGAGAATGAGAAGAGCAGTGAAAACTGTAAGTTTTTTTCATTTCATCAGTTTATATATCTGGCATGTTCAGATGCTACACTGAGGGAGGGTTGTGCAGAAACTTTGGCTTATCATAAGGAAACCAGCATATTTGTAATCTTTTCTGGTCGTAATAATAAGTGACTCTCATTCTTGAATCTGTATTTTGTTTATCTGTAGCATTCCAAAGTGGTAGCAGTTGACATTGTGGTTTATTTCTTTCCCAACAAATCAAAGAAACAAACCCAGGTTGCTTACTCTGGCTCATGAAAAATAAACCAGTGAATGGAAGGTGCAAGTGCAAGTGATAAGAAAGTGTGAGGAGTTCAATCAGTCTTTATTTGATGGTCACAGACCCAACAATTGTGGGAGGAAGCTAAAGTTAAAACTTTTTGACTGGAGAATACCTAACATAATACTGTACTCCCAATTAAGCTAGTTCAGCTAGTTCTCGATAACTACCCATATGTCAGAACAAGCAGAGTATCTCAGTTAACATTATCGTTGACATCAAAATCCTACATACTGTTTAAATGATCTGGTTCAGTTCAGCCTTCTCCACAGTGAATATATTTCCCTCACTCAAATGGTTAAAAAGACAGACCAATACCAGCTTTTTAACAGGCAGACAAATCGAGTTTTGAGGATAGCATATGATTTGTTAAATGGTGTGTAAATATATGCTAAGTGTTAAAGGTAACTGATTTTTTTTTCTTATACAGCTATAAGTAGTTCTTCTTCTGATGACAGTGATGAAGGCACAGATGAAGAAATAAAGAGTGAAGAAAGTGATATTGATGAGAAGATCGAAATGGTATGTTCAAATAACCTATTTCTTACAAAATAAAATGTAAGAAATTTCTCACTGGGAAGATAGCTCTTTATTTCTCATAGGGTTGTATGCTGAAGGTTTGTGAACATTGGAGAAGAAAAAACAAATAAGAAATAGCCCTTTGATTTGTAAAAGGAGTTTTGAAGTGACATCGAAGATACAGTAAATTATTTCCACTCTAGGAACCTTTAAAAAATAGTATAAGCTAACTGCATTTCCTACCATGTAAGCATCTTAGTACTGTACTTGAAAATATATTGGATTGGGTCCAGACCCAGCAAAGTTTAAACTACACTCACTGAAATCAGTGAGTTTTAATTTATTTGGGAGTATTAAGTTTTGCTGATTTTAGTGATCTACCGGATTGATCTCTGGACTGGATTCAACCCATAAATTATATAAACACTCCTGTGCATACAGCATATTAGTATACACTTGTCAGTGTAATCCCACTTCATATATTATATAATGCTTTTAATCTGCTCTGTTTAATGTATCATGGCTAAAATATATGAGGAGATATAAAACTTTTATGTACTTCTTTAGAAAGAAGAGCAAGAGACCCATACTAAAAGGGACATGGAAGAAAGAGCAATAACTATTGAAATTCCTGAAATCTTGAAAAAGAAGCTTGAGGAAGATTGTTATTATATTAACAGAAGAAAGCGGGTATGAATAACTCACATGAATGAGAAATGACTGAAACATATAGTATGCCAATTTTTGCATTCATAAAATAGTATCATTTTACAGTGCAATGTTATACATGTCTACTTAGAAATAATCCTCATTTCAGTGTTCTTGTTCTGGAATAGTTATGTACAGAATTGCAGCCACAGCTGTCTTTAAAAGCATTATACACATTTAGTGAAAGACAGTTCTAGAGTGAAGGTTTCCAGCTAATTTCTTTTACAGGGCATTAAAACATAGTGATTTAATAATAGTATTAATCTTAGAACATTCTTTTTGGTCCTGTTACTTTGGGACAGCATAGAAGAAGTTATAATATTAAGAAATCGGTTACTCTATTGTCAGTGTCATTTTTGCATAGTGCAGGAGAGGAACCTTTGTATGAGGAACATTAAATAATTTAATGGTCTAGCTGGATTATAACTTGGAACACAGTTAGCTTGGACATTGGCATCTTTGAAAATGGTAGTGCAGAAAGATAATATGCTTTTCAACACGGTTTCTTTGTGAAAGAGACTTACAGTAAATGAAGCAAATGTTTTAGTTCCGGTGGATAAATAAGATATGTGGTTCTACTGAGCATTTGCTATAGTTCATTTTTGAAATACAATCCTTTAGTTATTTTTACAAGTCAAATAAAATATTGGTTTTTTTAAAAAAAATTCAGTTGTGTTTTAAATCATGATTTAAATTTTGCATTTAAAAAATCATAAATTTTTAACTACCCTGTTTACAGGGTGGTGATATATTTCTGCATCTGTTCTTACTTCCAAATGTAAAATTGAATGGAAATTTCTCTAGCCACTTCATTTCAATGAATTTCACCTAGTTAGCATAAGATCAAACAGTGTATTTGACAACAATGCTATTAAACAGAAAGCATATAAACAATATGAATGTATATATTGCTGCATAATAAATTAATTTGACAGCTGATTGTTTTTTTTTCCATTTTGTCCAGCTGGTAAAACTGCCGTGTCAGACAAATATAATAACCATCTTGGAATCATATGTGAAGCATTTTGCTATTAATGCAGCATTTTCAGCAAATGAAAGGTCACGGCACCACCAGATGACTTCACACCCCAACATGAATCTCCACTATGTCCCACCAGAAAAGAAGTAAGCAGGCACTGCTTCAAGTTTTGCATGCTTAAAGTGACTGTTTGAAATGAGGAAAAGGCTGCATGGTCATGGAAACAATACAAATGCAGGAGAAGGTGATACCTTCAATTGACCATTAAGAATGTATTTTTTTAAAAGTAGCTTTTAATTATAAATGATCTTCATCAAGGCCATGCATCAAGTTCTTGATGTTATAGACCATCAGTCATGTGAATCTGGGGCAATAAAAACAGCACGTAAGTTTGGAACTGCCCTCAAGAACTTGATGCACTGCCTTGAAGAAGATTATTTATCATTGAAAGCTCGCTGTTTTTTTGGGGGTGGTGGTGGTGGTGTTTTGTTTTGTTTTATATAATGGTCAATTAAAGGTATCGCCTGTTCCTGCATTTGTATTGTTTGAAATGAGCGGCTGTTTCAAAAGCAGTGTATATTCATTTGTTGTCAATGAGCTTTATTTGGCATTTTGTCTGTAATGCTAGGCTTGATCAACACTGTAGAACATCTTGTGTTTAATAGCACTGCATGAAAATGGGCTTTCCTTTTTTTATATAGCACAGAATGAAAATGGGTATTCTTTCAGCTGTGACAGTCCATTCAGATTGTTTTCCTAACTTGGACTACATACTCTTCTAGCTCTTTGTGGATGCAAGTTAATGGGTTTGTTTACTGACATATCTTGTTTAGACAATTTCAGTGCAGCAGCTTTTGGTGGCCATTCTGAAATTCACTTCTCATTTTCTATGCCTCAATGCTAACTTCAAAAATTATTGTCTCCTGAAGTACACCTTCAGGAAGCCTCAGTATTCCTCTTGCAATAGTAAGTCTTTATAGATTGTTAATATAGTAGACAAGGTGAAGAAATGAAGAATTGCAGAGGATTTTAGCTTTCATTGAATGTTTTGAGTTAAAAGAGAATGTGCAGTTGATTTTTTGAGGGTCAAATATATATTGATCAGTATTTGTATGATTGATTGATCTATTATGGTCACTTACCAGCAGAGTATTTATATCACATATTGTTTATGTGTAATAATGGTATCCAGTTTTTTAGGAGTTGACTTTTCTTATCGGAGAGATCTTTAGGAAGAGCAACGCAAACATTAGTAAAATTGGACACCAGATTCCGAAATGGTTCTTCTTATAATGTGTAGTTGTAAATCTTACTGGACCTGGGCAAATGTATGTTTGCTTCTGTAAAGACACAAGTTGTTTCAAATGCTCTTCCCCCAGATTCTAAACTAAAATAATAAAAGTGAAGATGCTTTTCACATATTGCAACTGACCAACAGACTCAACTTGATTAGCTATTCACTTGTCAGGCATACACAGTTAATCCTGTCCTGAAGATTTTTGTGAATTCCTTTCCTCTCCCCCTTTCGACTTTTCCTTCTATTTTCTCCCTCTCCTTATTTTCCATGTACGGTCTGCTCTTCCTCTTTTATGAAAGATAGGAAAAACTGGAGAGAATCCAAATGGAGCCTGCCTAAAGAAGAGATATCTTATGATGCTCTAGAAATATATTTATTGCTTAAACACTGTTAACATTTGGTCAGATGTATTTTATTTTGTCCTTTTATCCTGAATTTTATTGTGTTTAAAATTCACAGCTATCTCTTCACTCATGTTCATTGCCAGTAAGATGGATTTGAGGCTCTTCTACTAGAAATTTCTGTGGACTGTTTTCTTTAAGTCACAGAAGGTCTCAGGACATTAGCAGGCCAAAATTCTTTGGCTATTTTAGGCATTTAGCATCATTTTAAATGTTCAATAGAGGCATTGCTTCTGTTCGTGGGTTCTTCCTTTAGAGGAAAAAACCTTCTGGGACCTATTTTCACAATCCTGAGACATCTTATTACGATACATCTTTATCACTTCAGAGTAAATCTCTGTATTCCTCACTTATATTTGTGATCGTATCATAATTCTGTTCTTCTATTGCTGTTATTATCTGCCTTTGTGTTCAGGGAGGGATGTGTTTTCTGAAGCTCAAAAAGACATGGCTTAAGGACCCTCCTCCTGCTGTTACTTTGGTTATTACAAATATTATTGGTTGTAATAGAAGTCTGACAAAATTTATGAATTCCTTTCTATACACTCAAAGACATTTTTCATGAAATGTTGCACTCTTACATTGAAAAACAAATTCATTTTATTAATTCTGTTAAAAGCATTTAGCAGTCTAAAAAGAAAGTTCTTTATCTTGCAAAATACTAACACAAAGTCTGTTAAACATAGAAAATATTTATACAGTATATTTCTCTCACAACTTTGTTTTTCTAGCGTTGAGTTATGTAAAGAAATGGTGGATGGACTAAGAATAACCTTTGACTTCACTCTTCCACTGATTCTATTATATCCCTATGAACAAGCACAATTTAAGAAGGTGACCTCCTCCAAATTTTTTCTTCCCATCAAAGAGAGTGTAGCAAATTCTACCAGGTAGGTTTGGTGTTCTTATTTCTTAAATATCTTCTTTTCAAATGGTGTAATTTGCAGTGCTTATCTTGTAGCCTTAAACAGTTGTGTGTGATCATTCATTTATTATCAAATATGCAAGGGAAGAGCAAGGACAAAAGGGGAAATTATTTTTGAAATGTGTTGTACAGTTAATATACTGTATTTTTTGCACCATAAGACTCACTTTTTCCCCACAAAACAGGGGTGTGGAAAGTCTGTGCGTCTTATGGAGCGAAGAAAACAGATTATATTTTCCTGTTTTCTTCTCCTAAAAAATTGGTGCGTCTTATGGAAAGGTGCGTCTTATGGAGCGAAAAGTATATTTGAAGTGTTACATAAGCAACTGCATACCACCCCGGTGCATTTCCACTTTTTCTTCCTTCAGAAATCAAGAAGAACTTTCCCCAAGTCCACCTCTTTTGAATCCATCAACTCCACAATCCACAGATAGTCAGCCCGTGACAGTAGAACCGGTGACACCTAAACGCCGGAAAACTGAACCCGAAATACTACAATCTCTAAGGCGTTCTACACGTCATACGTCCAACTGTGACAGATTGTCAGAAAGTAGTGCTTCTCCACAACCAAAACGGCGGAATGTTGAGGCCCCTGCTTCAATGCCAAAACTGTTTTTACATCTTGAAAAGAGTAAGTGGTTGTAGCAAGGTGGAAAACTATTTAGAGGAGTTGCAGGCATTTCCTTCTTTGTCACTACTTACCTTTTTAAAAACTGGGGAGAGAATTTGAGTCTGTTGTTGTTGTTGTATTTTTATTTTTATTTACTTCTTTGTCACTACTTACCTTTTTAAAAAGTGGGGAGAGAATTTGAGTCTATTGTTGTTGTTGTTGTTTTATTTTTATTTTTATTTAATTATTTTATTTTATTTATATCCCGCCTATCTGGTCTTGCGACCACTGCTGAATCCCTATACCATAGTAGAATAGCAGGCTTTGGTGGCAGCTGTACATTCTTCACTAGGCAGATATTTTACTTCACGCCAAATTCCATGGATCTCATTGAGTTTGCTACATGTGTAAATAAGCCTGGATCCACCCCAGTGTGTTGCTATAATCTCTCCTGGGCTTTTGTTTTCTTAAAAATTCAGAGCTGGTAGAAAAGTGCCCCAGTGGATGTTAAAAAGCAACCATACGTTTGTGGTGACATGAACTTACCTATGAATTCTTTTCAGTACACTCGAAGATAATTGGAATGTATTAAAACAAATCCATCCATATGTAAGTTCAGCAAATGAAGGTGTTGCAGAAGATGGCAAGCAAACTGATCTGAATGATATTGGGGGATGTGTTTTGTATTACTAGGCATGAAGGTTGCCTTTTTTGCTGGTAGTTCGCTCTTCTAGGCTGACTGTTTTGTAAAAGGGAGTACCTAGAGCATTCTTTATAGCAGTGATAGGAATTGTGTGGGCTGCATGCAGCCTAGGAAGCCTTTATATGGTGCCACTGCTGGGGGAAAACAGATTAAAATGGAGAACCACATATCTTTTGGCCTCCAAATGGTGTTATTCTTCTTTTAATGATTATTTGGCAGTCCACCTAAAAAAGGTACTTAATAACCTGTTTTCAAAAACATTTTCAAAAGTATGGAAAAAAATTGGGCACTTATAGCCTGTGGTTTTGTAAAAAATAGCTAAGTTCACTCAAGGGTCTTAGGCTCCCCAGTGGAATCTTTTAACTTAATTTGAAATCCTGCCCACCAAATTGTGCCTTTCACATGGTATAACGGAGGTGGGTAGCAGTCTCTGGACCTTCTGTCACTGTCCCCAACTGTTTTATAGTAACAACTGGCTGGAATGTTCAATAATTTGCTGTGCAGGGCAACTACTAAAAGTCAGAAAGTTGAATGGCTTTCTTTGCTCAGCATCACAAGCATATAAGGGGAGTTTTAGTTTGGCAGTATGGATATCATGGGTATTAAAGTGAGGAATGAAAAGGTCCCATTAACAGTTATAGTAGCCATCCTACCTGCTGGTCTTGTTCCTATTTAAAATAAAACTACTTAAACAGTTATTTGTTCAAACAGCAATTTAAATATGAATCACTCATTAATTTTAAATAACTTTTAATTATTAATTTTATCTTTTATTTTAATCTTTATTTAAAATAATAATTGATAGTTTTGGAGAACTAACTGTATCTAGAATTAAGCTGTTTTGTTTTCTAGTCAACCCTAAATTACACTTCTATAATACTTTCATTATAAATTTGAAATGTGAATTTTTTATAAAGTTTCCTGTTTGAGCAGTAGATTTGCAGTTTAGTACACAACTGCATATGTACTAATCTCAAGTGTACGCATTTGATTTGATCTACCTGTGTGAAAAATTAATACATGACCTGGGCTAGGTAACATTTGTTGTAAAAATGTTTTCTTCCTGGCCAATGGATGGAACAAAGATTTCTATTTTGTGCCCTATGGTATATTGCTGACTAATTTCAGATCTCCTACAGAAGAATTTTCTCCCTGTAGAGTAATGACCAAAGAGATCCTGAGGAACTTGTTGATTATAGCTAGAGGAAGCCTCTTGTAGCTGCATATGAGGGCGATGGATATGGTTGTACTATATTAGTGAATAAAATAACATTCTGCTTTATCTTTTGAAGAGACTCCTGTCCACAGTGGATCGTCGTCACCCATTACATTGACTCCCAGCAAAGAGGGCAGTGCAGTGTTTGCTGGTTTTGAAGGCAGAAGAAACAATGAATTAAATGAGGTAGACTCTTCTGGACCTTGGATCATAATAACTGTGAAATTAGCTTGCATCCTAATAACTGTGTTATTTAATTCTGAGAATGCAAGATGTTTTTGACTGTGTGAGAAAATAGCAACTGCCCCATCCTCATGTTACTTAGCGCACTAGGGAGATTAGGCCTTTTGAAACACAAAATTTGGTGTGCAGGATTTTGAATTAAGTTAAAGATTCCACTGGGGAAGCATAAGTCCCTTGAGTGACTTTATGCATTTTTAAAAATCATGTCTTTGATACCTGTGAAGTCACAGCAGACTTTTAGTGACCAGAATAGGTTTTTCAAGGTAAATGAGATATTTAAGGAGTGGTTTTACCATTACCACACCCCCAGTGAATTTCTGTGGCTGAGCAAGGATTCTAAACCAGGCCGCCTGAGTCTTAGTGCATAGAAGCCAAAAATCAGTGAAAGATTTTCAGTTACAAAGATATGGTGCATCTCTTGATTATAGGTTGATACTTTTGCCCCCTTTTCACCATTAAAATATTTATAGGAAAGAATTATCCTCTTTCTTGACTACAAATAAGGGGAGCACCATTCAGTAAATGTTAGCTTTGAATAAAATCTTGGTTCTAATACACTCAGTCAGATTTATTGGTGTCTAGTTTTTGCTATATTATGCTCAAACCAGTGGTTCCCAGGCTTGGGTAACCCAGGTATCCTTGGGACTGCTGGCTAGTATTTCTGGGAGTTGCAGTCCAAGAACACCTTGGTTACCCAAGGTTGGGAACCACTGCTCTAAACTATTACTTATCCTTGAACAGTCACAGCATCATTTAAATCGGTACACTATGATGAACCTAATTTTCAGGTCAAAAGATCCTGATTTGCAGGGATTGAAATTGGAACCCTGAAGCCTATGTAACATTAGTGGAGGGAAAAGTGTATTAGACGAGTTCCATTGATACTTGCAGTTGTGCAAGCAGCAGCACATATGCTCTTGTGATCACTAGGCACTATGGCTTGCACACTGGGGTACAGAATGTGAAACCCCTTGGATTTTTTTTCTTTTGCACATTGTGCAAAGTTTGCAAGCACATAATTTGTACTAGTAGAATGACACTGTTGTACCCTCTGTCACATTCAAACATGTTTTGAATTCTGTGTGGAAATAAATCATGCAAGCTCTTTATAATAATAATTACACACCATTACATCCGTTGGACTTATGATGATCCCTTTCAGGGTTTTCCAGATGTAGAGTACTCGGAAGTAGTGGCGGTGGGACTTCTGGATCACAAGGAATTCATCTGGCATACCTCAGACAGAATTCGGGCAGGGAGAGGAGAAACCAGACTAAAAAGAGATGGCTATCTCTGTATTATGCTCTTTTTTGTGTGTACTGACTAGAAAGTAAAAAAGAATGCCCCTTCACTCACGCTGCTTCTTGACAGTCATCCCAATAATCTGTTGGTAGGGTAGTTCAGTGAAAGGCTCCCCAAAGAGTCTAGTGTATGGTGAGAGTACCTTCCCTATAGACCAGTGGTCCCCAACCTTGGGCCTTCAGATGTTCCCGGACTGCAACTCCCAGAAGCCTTTAGCACCACCTCTGCTGGCCAGGATTTCTGGGAGTTGAAGTCCAAGAACATCTGGAGGCCCAAGGTTGGGCACCACTGCTATAGACCACAGGGCAGTTCCCAGGAAGCTATGTGAATGACAGGCCATACCCCTTTCCAGCCAGTATACATGGAGAGGAGCACAATATGGAGGTAGACAAACATCGCTTTTCTTTTTGGTTTCTCCTCCCTTCCCCAGAATTTTGCCTAATGGATTCTGGGTGTGTTCTGGGGCTACAAATCCTTAAATTTAAAAGTCCCATCCCTAGTAGTGTAGCATGTATAAATTAGTTATGAGGAAAATGGTTATAGTGGAATGTTTTAGAAAATTGTGCCAATTTGTTCAGATTACTAAGAAAGCGTTCAGCAAAGTGAGATTGGAAATTTATTGCTGATTATGCCTTTGTTTATTAATGTATAGGTGTTATCGTGGAAGCTCATGCCAGACAACTATCCCCCAGCTGATCAGCCACCACCCCCTTCTTATATTTATGGATCACAGCATTTGCTACGCTTGTTTGGTAAAACACCACTTTGCTTCTGAACGTTTAAAATGCTTAAAAGTCTTATCTCATGCAGTAGATTATGTGTTTACTTGGAAATTTGCCCAGTCAGGATTAGTCTCTCTCCCCCTCCCCCAATAGGTGTAGTGGTCTACAGCAGTAAGAGTCTTCCTTATAAGAAATATGAATTCATAAGAGAACATGTGTTTCTGAAGAAACACATACCCTTTGATTTTAGATAATGCATTAGATATTCCTTGTAAGAAAATGACTGATCAGAATCCTATTAGTTGTCCTTGCCAGCAGAAGTCCATCAGAGTAGGTCTCAGCTGTGAACTGCACAAGTTAAGAAGTCGACATTTTCTGCTGCACCCCAGTCATATGACTCTGCAACTGCCTACTCTGACTTTTAGCTTGTGACAATTCATCACTAAAATTTACACCAGTGGGGTTATGCCAGCAGAATTTTTTCAGTTGGACTCCAGCCAATGTTCCTCTAAGACGGCTTTACCATCTGCAGTTTTGTTTGTACCAGTACCATATCCAAATGCATATTTTTATCTATTTTTTAAAAAAACATTGTGATACAATCAGAAACATCTTTTTAAGGTCAATGTAATCTAACCAGTAAATCAGTTTATATAGCACTAAATTTTGTATAAATATAGAAATTGAATTTCCTGTGTCTTGACCCAAATCTGTTATGCACTGGGCTGTAGGTCATACTGTGTGCATCTAAAGGATCAAATTGTAAAGAAGAAAAAGTAACCTGAATAAAAATATAAGTATGCAACTTTTCTCTTTACAGTAAAGCTGCCAGAAATACTTGGGAAGATGAGCTTTTCAGACAAAAATCTAAAGGGATTAGTAAAGCACTTTGAGTTATTCCTAAGGTAAATTAACAGTGTGTGTGACTGAAAATCTAAAAGCCTAAACCTTCAAAACTACTAAGTAAATTAAAGAAGAATTATTTTATTTGTGGGGGGGAGGGGTCCTTTGTTATGTCACTAATTTACTTACCCTGTAGAAAAATGATACAAGATTGTGCCTGAGAAATTTTGATCATACTCAGTTGATTCCCTTGTGATGGGAAGATGGAAATTAAGCATTTCTTCCATGAAGAGATACATATTGGTCCCTGTGTGGTAAACCATGGAGGGGATTCCCTCTTCTACATGTGATACAGAAGAGGCAAATGATGTAAAACAGGATGTGACCTTCATCTTATGTCTGCAGAACATAATGCTTAAAAACTGACCTGAGGATTCAGTCCCAAACGCCAAGGGTTAAAATCTCTTGTAACTTCCATGCAGTATTAATATTCCTTGGCCAAAATCCGTTTGCATAAAGTTATGCAGCAGAAGCTAATGATGTCATCAGCTGGCATTGGTAACATTTAATTTAGACAAATTCCTGTCCACTAATTCTGAGACTCTGTCAGGCTTCCTTTTGCCTTTGGGAGGCAATTGAGGGCATTGGGACTGGGGGAGCCTTTAAAAGTCAGAAATTGACACCAGAATCACCGCTGCCATAATCGGGACCAGCAGTAGCAACCCAGTAGCCATTTTGACTTTTAAATCCTCCCAACCTGCCCCATCCCAAGGCTCTCAAAATGCTTCCCCAAGGCAAAATGAAGTCCTGTGGAACCTATGCACCTAAATGGGTGTGTGTACCTATGTGCGTAGGAAACTTTTAATTAGGCTAAATTAAATGCTGGCTGATGACATCATCTGCATCCACATAGTGTTACGTGAGCAGGATGTTGGCCACTATATACAGAAGTGAATTAGTCATTGTACCAAATGACATATAATTGGAAAAGGACTGTTTTGGTCAGTGTTTTGCTGTTAAGTATCACTGAGGATTTTCAAAGAATATTTTATTAGGGAAAACCCCTTCTCATCATACATTTGAAAATAAACCCGTTTGGATATTTCAAATGGCGACTGAGAGAAAATCTCTTTTCTCATGATACTAAAGCAAAAAACTTAAGGCAGAAGCAGAGCCTTAATAGAGTGCTCAGAAGTAAGTCTGTGGAGTTCCAGGAACTATTTCTAGACATATAGGGAACAGAATCTAAATGAAATTTAACCTATAACAAGTTTCTGACTTTTTGTGGCATCTTGGGCCTCTAGTGATAATACTCATAGAGCACTCCATTTAATATATACTACAAAATCTTGACTGTCTGGATAAGTGATATGAAGCTTAAGGTATACAATTAAGAAATACTGTTAAAATTAAAATATTTTCCTGTTTTTATCCTTTTAATTAGTTTAGTGATTTGATGACACGTGGCAATAACTCTTTAAACTTTTTGCTGTGATTTCGATAGGTATAAACTTCCTTGTAACATTCTGCATGGGGTAGTTTAAAGCTGATCTACCAAGGGGCTAGGAAGCATTAGAAATCACAGAAAAATAATCATAAATATTCTGTTCCAGGTTTTTAGCGGAATACCATGATGACTTCTTCCCAGAATCAGCTTATGTAGCTGCCTGTGAAGCCTACTATAGCACAAAGAATCCACGTGCCATCTACTGAAGTTATTAATATGAATATAATCAGCTGTACATACTCCATGACTGTTGCTTTACTGTCCTCTCCACTTCAAGATAGAGAAACGGAAATGTTTCATTCTAATGTCACAAATGGAATGTCACCAGTATTGTCATTCCTTTGACAAAAAGAGAGTTGCATTTCATTTCAGAGTATGCTGACGTTGCGTTCTAGTGCTAGATAACCTTCACTGCTACATAAATGAAGTTCTTGCACTGACTGCCAATGCGTAAAACTGCATACAAATGAAATAAGGAAAAATAACATGTGCATTAGAAATCGTCTTCATGAGAACTGACCATTTCGTGTCCATTTTAACATAAACTTGCTCCATCTTGAACTTTTGAGACCATCATCTGCGTCGAAAGCAGGAGTTGGCATTGTACACATGTTCACATTTGGAATTTATGCTTTATTACATGAAACTATTATAACAAATTAATTTTTATGGAGGAAAGAATATGCAACTTGTGTAAGCATGTTTTCTGTCTCAAGATTTATTAGGGTTGGTGTGTTGTGGATGGGAGAACCCATAATCTTCCTCCACCCCATAGAGTGTGTTTGCCTTGTCCCATGATAGGTGTGTCTGGCGGCACCTGAGTAGCTTTGATTGAATTAATTCATCCCATACATGGTTTCATGGCTTTGGAGGTATGTTTGGAAGCAGTGGTTAAGAACAGAATGTACCTGTTGGCTTTGGGAATGGATAATATCAAAGCGATGATCACTTTGGCAAGCATTCTGAAAATGAAAAGTGGCTGCCAAGTGAACCTATAAGATACAGTTCTCATTTCATTCATGTTTTAGTGATATAAAGGCTATGTGGACATAAAGATCTGGACGTGCACTTGTCTGCAGCTTTGTTTTACTGCATCTGTCTGTCTGTCAACTAGATGCCACTCCATGCAGCAGAAAGACATGATTTTGGTTAGAATCTTATGCCCGCAGCAGTTAAAAACACTTTGCTCCTTGAAAGGCAAATCTCTACAATCTGAGACATGAGCAGATTTGATTCACTTACAGTTGAGTCTAAAGAGCCACACTATCTTACACAGCTCAATTTGATAGTAGTGCTGCATGACAGGCCACAATTTTAGTGGAGCTCGTACTAATCAGCTCAGCCTGTATGTTATCAATATAAGTTGTAGATTGCATGGGACAGACTAACTGGAATATGACTTGCAATGCATCTCTGTGTTTGAACCAGCAGTTATTGTTTCAGGCACAAACATGTATAAAAGCAAAATTTGCAACATTTTACACAAGCATTGGGATAACTGAATCAACCCCTAAGTTCTTCAAGTATTTTAAGACTACAACTCCTGTAATTACTCACCATTAGCTGTTATTTCTGGAGCTGATAGGAACTATTACCTAAACACCTGGGGATGAGACCTCTATGAATGCTGGCATCCTACTTTCTTAATGTGGAAATCCAAGGAATGAGCACACACGATAATTATTTAGAAACTCTTTAAAAATGGCATCCTGACTAGCTAGCCCCATGGGCACACTTATGGCAAACTCACTAAAGTTTGGCGACAGGCAGGATCACACAAGTAAGACTATATTTAAACACCCAGTATGCCTACATGAGTGACTGCAGTTCTATTGGTGGCCTTGCTACTGCAACAACATTGCTCAGGCAATCAGAAGATAATTGTTTTGAGATCTGCATTGCTCAGGCAATCAGAAGATAATTGTGTTGAGATCTGAGCTATGTGGCTGAGTCCTTGAATTGGTGAGCTGTTGCTACTTTGAGATGCTATCTCTGGGGCTAAATGTATTGTTTCTATACTTTCCTTTCTGATCATCAATCTTAAGACCTCTGTAGAAATTTGGCCTTCGATTTGAAGCTTTACAATAAGCCAGGTTGGTATGAACCATCGTATAACATACTTGTGCAGAATGATTAAATATTGGTTAGTTTTTAACAGAATAATAATGCTAAGATTTGATTCTTGAATTCTTACATTGTATTTCAGCACATTGTGTGTCAAATACTGTGTTGTATGCATCCAAATAATACATGCAAACAAATGGGCAGCATGGTAGTTGACCTTCAAACACTGTTATGTGGATGGATTGTAAGGAAAGCTGGTATGTTTGAGAATGGGAAGGATTTCAGGTATGTGTTTTGTTAATTTTGCCAGAGCACCATGACAAGTACAAAACTCATGCACAACGATTTAGGTGAAAACTGTCTATACAATTGAAAGATCCTGTCACTATATGTCTTGATCGTGGTCTCTCATTTCCTCACAAGGTGTGTATTCCTAAAACTAAAAATCATTCGGGGGAATGTGTTGCATGTTTACTAATACAAGGTTTGTACTTGTGTGCATTTCTACATCATTGCATTCAGGAAGATTCTTGTACTAAGAGTAACGAGATTTGTTTGACGTCTTGGAGGTTAATAAACACATCATTGCATTCAGGAAGATTCTTGTACCAAGAGTAACGTCTTGGAGGTTAATAAACTGTGATGGCCTGAACTTTCTGATGTAGTATATTATAGTTTCTGAAAGCTTATGCCGTAATATATTAGCCTTCAAGGTGTTACCAGACGCTGTTGTTTTAATTCAGTTAAATTTCAAAAATCAAAGGTGCTTATTTTCTGTGGGAAGCATATGCTGCCATATGGAGAGTCATTAATATATTAGCCTTCAAGGTGTTACCAGACGCTGTTGTTTTAATTCAGTTACATTTCAAAAATCAAAGGTGCTTATTTTCTGTGGGAAGCATATGCTGCCATATGGAGAGTCATTAGTTTAAATGGCTGCTTAAATGAGAATGACAAAAAATATTCCATTACTGTAGTTGTACATTTTAGAGGGGAGTGTTAGAATTAAAAATAAGTTTCAGAGAACACTGCAAATTCATTAATGTACCAGTGGCCAAAATCCTGTTGCTTAGTGCAAAGCAATCATAACTTTTGGTTCATTATTCCCTGGTAAACAAAGTTTCTTTGATGTGGTTATTGAGGGTACATGTGCTGGCATGCACGTATGCCCCTGAGAATCACAGCAGCAAGCGGAAAAAAGGAACTGAGTCGTTGGCGGGCGGAGCACGCGCTATACAGGGCAACCTAAATATTGTTACTTTTCTCCTACAGCTCTAGAAGATTCCGAGGGGCCCAGCACAAGTGCTGTTTAACCCATTAGTGTGGATTCATGGAGAACCACATTGAAGAAGTTATAATATCACAGCAGGGATACATTGTTTATCAGAGAGGGATGGATGGAAAATTACAATTGCCTTAATGCTAAGCAACAGGGTTTCAGCCCCATGAATAGTTGTTTCAGAGCTAACCAACCAATTGATCATTAACCTCTTTCATAAAGTAGACTACCCAAATATGTGTTCATTGGCAGAAAAATAACTGCTATTCCTTAGGATACATTGTTTATCAGAGAGGGATGGATGGAAAATTACAATTGCCTTAATGCTAAGCAACAGGGTTTCAGCCCCATGAATAGTTGTTTCAGAGCTAACCAACCAATTGATCATTAACCTCTTTCATAAAGTAGACTACCCAAATATGTGTTCATTGGCAGAAAAATAACTGCTATTCCTTATTGTCATATTCCTATGTTTCACATCAGTTCAGTAAGAATATCAAAATAGAATTATTCTGTTAGCAGTGCAAAATATATAATGGACAATTATATTCATCACTATTTGTGTAATACATGTGTTGCTGTGTCATGCACTTAGGTACCGATGCTGCTTCTAAAAATGACACATAATTGTAGAAGGAAAGCAAACTGGAGCAAGTCTTTTCTTTACTCTTAAGCTTGTATTGCTAGGAGCTACTTATTGTGTGAGTGAAAACAGACAGATAGTTGATGTTGCTGTTGTCAGCTATCTCCTCTGGGCTCCATCCAGCAATTAATTCTTCTCTTCTAATAGATACTGTTTGCATGATATTTCTAGAGTACAGAATGTCATCCACAGGTGCTGAGGAAAATAGGAATAGACAGCAGGGCACCAATTATTCTACAGTACAAACATTTGACAGTCAGCAAGCTTTTCACTTAGAAAAGACCTCTTGACGCCAACTCCTGAAACTAAACCCCACTACGGAACATGTCCCATTAGTGTGCAGATATTGACTTGGCTCCCATTCATCTTATATTGCACTTATGATAGTGAAGCCTCATAACAGCTGAGAGAGCTAATTCATAGTAGTTCCAGCTATTTAGGAATCAAGTTGTCCAGAATGCAATCCAGGGTTTCAGCTTTATTGGCTGGCATGTTTAGTATCTTTTTGAACCATTGGACAAACTAGGTTGGTAATTGAAAAAGTAATAAGGGAGTTACAATAAAAAGGCTTTAATGTAGATGACATGTAACTTATGTGTGCTTTTCCTGTACCTTAAAGCAAGGGTCACCAAACTTTTCAGCATAAGGGCCACATCATATATTTTACACATTTTGAGGGCCAAAAGAATGTGTGTATGCATGGGCTGAATGGACCTGAGCCTGCAGACCTGCGCCTGCAGCATCTGCCAGGCTGGATAAAAAGGGAAGATGGGCCAGATGTGGCCCGTGGGCCATAGTTTGGAGACCCCTGCCTTAAAGCAATGAAAATTGCTACTCTCATCGGTACTTAAAGGTCTCATGTAATTCAATGAATTTTGTCTTCAGAAACCAAGAATACTCTCTAACTGGAAAAAAAAGAGAAGGTGTTCATAAATTTATTCATCCTCATTGTGGAAGTGTAAACACCTCCTGTTGCTTAGCATAATCCAATTCATAACATTAAGGCTATTCCTAGCTGGCAAATAAATACATTAAATAAATAAAACGTCCACACTGTGATTTGGGATGTGTGTGCATGCACGCTGGCATGGTCAAGAATCACAGAGGGGCTTCTTTATATGCTGGCTAGGACTAGACTGAAAGTTATGTACTGTGTTACATCTTGCAACAAGATTTTAAACATTGCCCTGTACTTATTCATTCATTTATTCAACTTGTATGCCACCTGTCTTCCTTACATCTTGGCCTCCATTTACTTGGACTTTCTTTTGTCTCTTTCAGCTTGAGTTTCTTCTGTAAACACTGAAACTCAGGATACTGAAGGCAGTGATACACTGTCTTCTGCTTTCCTTGTAAACTTTCATTTTGGTTAGGCAGAATGTGGAATGCTGGTCTCTAACTAACTTTCATATTAGCTTTAACTCTTTTGATGTCTGCTTTGATGATTTTAAGGGACGTGGTGGCACTGCGGGCTTATTTTAAAAATTGATGATTTTAAAGATTGTTATAGTTTTTTACTATTCTAATAGTTTTACTGATTAATTTGTTTCTAATCTGTATTTGACGTTGTTAACTGCCATGAACGTTGGAGTTTTGGGGTGGAAATGTGAGATAAAAATGCAATAGTATAACAGAGTCCAGGAGAACAAGTTCAATGGGAGGATGTAGAGAGGGACATAAAACTGAGAGCAAATTGATAACAGTAGCCAAAAATTAGCAAAATAAGGGAAGAGGTAAGTCCTGTGTTGATACGTAAAGTTGCATAAGACTAATCTGTTCTACAGAATGCTTTTCTTTAGAATAAAGCAGTTGTTTAGAATTTATAAATAGGACAAGTCTGAACTTGAATAATAACTTTGCTTGATTTTACATGTGATTCAGTATGCACAGTATCATGGATGCATTGCAATAGATGTCACTGACCCTAACGGCTGTGTTCCCCAACCTGCCAAAAGAGATGGGTGGGAAAACCAAGGGCTGGCTGGAGATGAATTTGTATCTGGATAGAATGTGAGAGACTGCATTTACTGTTTATAAGGTGCAAAATTTAAGGCAGATGCTTTAACTTAAACTTTCCATGTTAGTGAATTTATATGTACTTTAAATCTTCTCCTAAACTAGTTTTTTTAAATTTAAAAGAAAGCCTAGAACACACATGCATATATTCCCTTGCAATAATTGTTTTTACTGGCAATTGCAGCTGTTGTTAAATATCTCATAAAGTCACGAACACTTTATTTTGAATGGCTTTGGTCCTTAGACTGACAATTGCAGACCTACCTTGCACACAGCACACTTATGCTGGTTAACCCCCATTTATAACTGCATAAATTGGTCCATTATTGTCTGTGTGGAAATATTGGAAAAGGACCACAGTATGGAGAGAGACAGTTTGGGGAAAGAGAACATTTACATCATTGAGGAGAAAGGGGTGATACAGAAAATGAGCTAATTGAAAACATGGGACATACTAGGAAAAACATGTTTCAAAGTGGCTGATGAGAATGAAAGGAAACTTGTCATTACTGCTCAGAGATGTCTCAACACCTAGCGAGCTGCACAAGTTTAAGTGCCTAAGAAGGAGAAGTTCCTGTTTACATGTAGGCTTCTCTGTGTGAGCAGGGTTCTTGCTTATATGAAGAGCCTACACAATGAGCAAGAACAAGAGGGGAAGGTAAGGCACTGAATTGCGAACAGCATAGAAATCTTTGTTTTGATCTGTCTGAAATAGGTCTTGTGTGGGTGTGCAGTGTAACCTGTAATCGTTGCATGGAAGATTCAATGCTAGAAGGAATCAGTGGTTGAGTTTCTGGTTGAAATCCAGCTGGCAACTGGTGTAACTCTGAGAGGAATAGAGAGGAGAGGTATAGTAGACAGAAGTAGGCAGATGGGTTTGGACCAGTTAGGAGCTGTAGTCCAAAATATTTAGAGGAGACCGATTTATCTATTCTTGCTGCAAGACAAAGTGGATGATACTCAATCCAGAAGGAGAAAAGAAGGCTTAGAAGAAAGAGAGAAACACAGGGATTTTTTAAAAAATCCACAAAAAAGGCAGCCTTTTCTAAGAGCAGATGTCCCTGCTAGGTTAGAGGCTGTGGATATTTGGAATAGGCAGTCCAGAATAGAGAGTCTATTGATACCCAGAAATAAAAGAAACATCTCATGAATTTCTGCAGTAAGAAAGAGAAACCAGCTCAACTGGCTAAAAGCAGAGGTGACTACTCCAAGTTGTTGATTACAATGTCTGCTTGTGGAGCAATGAACAGTTCCACTTCCCATGAAAGGGATCTATCCGCAACATTTAGTTGCTCACTAGGACTTCATGCAGATTGTTTTCCAATGAGTTGCAGTTCCACACATTAGTCCAAGTATTTGGGAAGACCCTCATTACTGGAAAAACAACTGGAGATCACAGCTTCCTCGTGGTGGCTAGTGGCAGCCAGTAAAAGGCTTCTTAAAAACCCTGCAAGAATACAGGCTTAATTTATTAGAATTGTAGAAAAACCTCAAAGGTTTGCTGACACCAGCCAACCAAATGTCTTATCAATATACTAGCTGAAGTGTTCCAGGGACTGTAGATACACTTTTGGCTGTACAGAATTATTGTACAATTGTCAATTTCAGTAATTTCAGATACTGTATTTTTAAGCCTTTGTCTGTTAATGGATTTCAAGATCAGCAGCATGATAAATAATTCATCCATGGATAATTTTTACTGCATCTTCAATATTTTTTGGCCCTTTTTTCTTGCTTGCTTGCGATGACTGTTATCAAACATAAAAATCTCCTTTAAACCTAGTTCTTTGGTGCCTTGACCCTGTAATGTAAGAGTAGGCAAAGTGCAGGACTGGGGCTGCATGGAGCTTCCCACCCCCACCCCCAGCCTGTATTTGCAGACTTCAGCTCTTCCTTTTGTTCTTGTTATATGCCAGTAAGTTGCCTCTGACCCATGACCCATGAGTGACTTTCAAAATGTCCTCTCATTAACAGCTCAGCTCCCACACACTCAGTGTTATGGCTTCCTCAAGCCCTCCCCTGGCCATACCCTTTTTGATTAAAAAAAAAAAAAACCTGTGCATTTCAATTTCTGGAAGCCTCCAGGAATGATTATTCACCTTTTCAATAGGTCACAAAAGCCCATTGTACCATTTAACATTTTCTAATTTTTCAAAATTGAAAGTAGGCATCCAACTACTTCTGGTTTTTTTTTTTTTTGATGTTTGGCTGCTGGAAAGTTGTCGTAACAAAAAAATCAGTCCCTGAGCCCACCAATATTACTCAGTTCTGCTGTACAACCACAAGGATTTGGTGGTACAGCAAACATTCTCAGCTCTTACTGCGCCACAGAAATGTAATATATGTTTTTCTGCTAGGGCACAAAAACCCATTGTGCCATTTAACATTTTCTAATTTTTTAAAATTGAAAGTAGGCATCCAACTACTTCTGGTTTCATTTCCTGCATTTTTTTTTTTTTTTGATGTTTGGCTGCTGGAAAGTTGTCGTAACAAAAAAATCAGTCCCTGAGCCCACCAATATTACTCAGTTCTGCTGTACAACCACAAGGATTTGGTGGTACAGCAAACATTCTCAGCTCTTACTGCGCCACAGAAATGTAATATATGTTTTTCTGCTGGAGTGGTGATGGGGCGTTGGAAAAGAAAAAAAATTAAAATAGAAGGAGGGACAGCCAAAGTGTTGTGTTCAATACGAGTCTTTATAAATCAAGTTATTTTTTTAAATAGAAGTGGGACACCCAACGTATTGTATTCAATGCAAAGTCTTCCTAATTCAAGTTGTTTTTTTAAAATAGAGGAGGGACAACACAATCTTTCCACTTCAAGTTTTTTTAAAATAAAGGGTTAAAGTGGAAGCTTCTTCATATAATATTAATAGAAAATAAAAGCAGTACCTCCCCCTTTCAATTATCCAAAACAATGAGTTTGCTAAGATCCATAGATGAGTTGCACTGCGGACAATTTTGAGTGTCACTCTTACTTGACGGTGGTGGTGGGTCAAGTTTCACCATAATTAGAGGATTAATCTTTTTTTTCCTCCTACTGCATTTCTTGCTGAGGATAACAATTCCACTTGAGAGCATAAAACCCGAAGCAACATATCCCTCATAAATCGCAGAACCAACATATTGCTCTTTGGGGGACTCAGGCAAGACAAAGAATTCAGGAAATTCAATGCTCTCATTCATTAGAACAGAATATAAATTCCATGAAATTGGGACTAAAGTAATCATCGCAGCGATTAAATTTAAAATGCCTCCAATAGAAAAAGAAGTAAACAAAACTTTTTTGTGCTTTTCACTCTTGAAAACATTCCACAAGGCAAAAGCCATGAAACCTATTGCCAATGATTGCAAAATTGCAGCTAACGACATCAAGTCCTGAGCAATAAAAATCTCCTTGGGAAGAGTCCTGTATTCCTCAGTGAATTCCTCACAGTGTAGATAGAGCTTCTCAACAGGCTTATCATGGATAAAACAAGCTCTCCAGATCCCAATCCAGAGGCGTTCAGAACTGATGCCTGGTATGCGTTCTATGTCCCACACTCTCCACTGGGTACCAGCTGTAGACATTAGGCACATGCTCCAGCCTATGATGGCAAGCAAAAAGCCACAGAAGCGGAAGCAAGATACTTGGGCCAGCCAGGCTGAAACAATCGAGTTTTGATATTTCAGCAGTATTTCTTTTGCTATCCAATTGGTCATGGTGACGGCTGCAGGTTCTCTGCAAATAAAACAAGGCAATTGTTTTATTTGCATTGAAGGAACTTACAGACATGCATGCACTACAATATATGAATTACAGTATTAATAAATAGCAATATCCCCCAGCTATTTCATGAAAAAAGAGCTGCTTTCTAGGGCAGATGCCCCCACCATTAATACATGATAATATAAATACTGATCTTACTTCAGTTAGGCATCTCTGGATGTTTGGTTCTTCCTCAGTGGATCTCTGCCTGGTAATGCAAACTCCCTTGAAGAGATTTGAGCTTCCTCAACTTGGCTGTCAAGTAGGAACCAACTTAATGGTGACCCTAGTAGGGCTTTTAAGCTAAGTGAGATATTTAAGAACTCACGCCCTCAGTGAGTTTTCTTTGGCTGTATGGGGATTCGAACCCAGGCCTCCTAACATCTAGTTGGCCATTCTAGCCACTACACACCATAGTGGGTAACCCATTTCTATCCTATCATTCAGTGTCATGGCTACAATTGGAGGGTGGTTCTTTCTCCTGCTTTGTGCCTCGTGCCCAACACTCAATTTATATCTTAGCCTGCTGTTGCTATTTTGCTGTTGGTTTTAATTACAACGAGCATGCTTTTCACAATGCCTATTGTTTCCAGTATGAACATACAGTATTGCCACTGTACGAGGCATTTTCTATCCTGAGGCTCTCCAGGAAGTTGCAGCACACCTAGGATATAACAATATGATGGGAGATGCGTAGACCTCTCTCTCTCTCTCTCTCCATTTTTCTTTCCTGGCCAAAGAATGGCTTCAAATGGGATAGTTTTGATGCAGCATGAGTAAAAGTTTAAAGAGCCCACTCCATCCCAGTGCTGATCTGGATTCCATGTAGCTGGTATTTATAAGCTGCTTAAAGAGATGCATATCTTCCATATCACCATCATCACATCGGTTTTCTTCTTATTGTCACCTTCCTCATAAAGGGTACATGAACGTTTAGTAACTAATGCACAGCCATGGGCACCATTTTCAAATGTAAAATTGATGATGGCTGACAATCCATCTCCTGCTTTCACAGGCTGATTTGCATCAGAATGTTGAGTAATGAACAACAGTGCAATTCTAGTCACGTCTGCTGAGAAGTTAACTTCATAAAGTCAGTGAGGCCTATTCCTAAACAGCTGCATATACAGTAGCTGCAGTGGCCAAATGGTGGCGCTTCCAGCATTGTCGAATGACAACCTCCATCATTTTTTGGTGAGAGATAATGGGAGTCATAGTCCAGCACAACGACAGCTTCCGTTCTAACCTACCTGCAATTAAACCTCTAGACAGAGGGGCCTGGGGGAGTGGAAATAGGGGAGAAAACAGATAGTGGGAAGAGTTGTGTGGGTTTAGCATACAACACTGGGTTTTCTCCAGAAGCAACTTGAGAAGAAGAGCCTATATGCTCTGTGGGTAGATGTGGAACTAAAGCAGAAATGACAAACGGTACCATGAGTACCCTTTGACTTCTCAGCCCAAAGATTCAAAATCCTGTAGTGCAACTCTCGACTTCGCACCCTATTTGAGGAAATGCGGTGAGAGTGGAAGATGCAAGGAAGGGTCATCCCAGGGTTTCCCTTTCAGTCACTGCATCCAGACGTTTGCTGTCCTTCTGCAAGCAGACAAAGACCTTTCTCTTCAGACAAGCTTTCCCTTTGTGACTGGCTGTCTGAGAGGGACTTTTAAATGGATTGTTTTGCCTTACTGCTTTTAAATTTGGCTTTTTTGTATTGATTTTATTTACAATTTTTAATTTAATATGTCTTCAGTTCTTCTTAAGCACTTGTGTACTTACTGCTTTTAGCTTTTAAATAGTGTCTTTTAATGATGTTAAAACACACTTACTGTTTTTAGATTTTAAATAGTGTCTTTTAATGATAAACATCTTAGGTCCTTTTTAAAGATAAAGGTGGGGTAAAAGTATAACAAACAAACAAAACAAAGTGTGGTCCCAACCTGAGGAGAAGACTATCTGGAATCTTTTAGGTGTGCCCCCTAGGTGGGAGAGAGCAGCTTGCGATGGTTTGTTCTGGGTGCCATAGCAACTTCCCTGCAGAGTTCTGGTGCAATTTAGAATGCTGTCAACATCCACCCTATCAGAGGGCTGGGGCAGGTTTTATCATAGATATTCATTTGCTAGAGTGGCAAGGAACACTTTGACCTTTCAGACATTTTGATATACAGCTCCCAAAATCCCTCAGCTTTGACCATGATGGGTGGGGCTGATGGGAGCTGAAGAAGTTAAATATAAGTGACTATAAGAAACTCAGTGTGGTGTAGTGGATAGAGCAGTGTTCCCCAATCTTTTTCAAGCTGAAGTCCTCTTTTATAGTAGCCAAGTACCTGTGATCTTGCCTGCCAAATTAGCAGAAAAAGGTATTCTTAATGGGATAAAAACACACACATTAAAATAGATTTTTCTGGATATAATTCTAATGTAATGCATGAATATTAATGTAATTATACATAAATATTGGAGGCCTGTAAATCTGTCTCTTGTTGCTGTTGTTGTTGTTTAGTAATTCAGTCATGTCCGACTCTTCATGGCCCCATGGACCAGAGCACACCAGGCCCTCCTGTCTTCCACTGCCTCCTGGAGCTGGGTCAAATTCATGTTGGTAGCTTCGATGACACTGTCCAACCATCTTGTCCTCTGTCGTCTCCTTCTCCTCTTGCCTTCATTCTTTCCCAACATCAGGGTCTTTTCCAGGGAGTCTTTTCTTCTCATGAGATGGCCAAAGTATTGGAACCTCAGCTTCAGGATCTGTCTTTCCAGTGAGCACTCAGGGTTGATTTCCTTCAGAATGGATAGGTTTGATCTCGCAGTCCAGAGGACTCTCAGGAGTCTCCTCCAGCACCACAATTCAAAAGCATCAATTCTTTGGCGGTCAGCCTTCTTTATGATCCAGCTCTCACTTCCATATATCACTACTGGAAAAAACATAGCTTTGACTATGCAGACTTTTGTCGTCAAGGTGAGGTCTCTGCTTTTAAGTTGCTATCTAGCTTTGACATTGCTTTCCCCCCAAGAAGCAGGCACCTTTAAATTTCGTGGCTGCTGTTACCATCTGCAGTGATCATGGAGCCCAAGAAAGTACAATCTGTCACTGCCTCCATGTCTTCCCCTTCTATTTGCCAGGAGGTGATGGGACCAGTGGCCATGATCTTAGTTTTGTTGTTGTTGTTGTTGTTGTTGATGTTGAGCTTCAGACCATATCTTGCACTCTCCTCTTTCACCCTCATTACAAAGTTCCTTAATTCCTCCTCACTTTCTGCCATCAGAATGGTATCATTTGCATATCTGAGATTGCTGATATTTCTCCTGGCAATCTTAATTCTGGCCTGGGATTCATCCAGTCCATCCTTTCGGATGAGGAGACGATATATACAGCCTTGTCGTACTCCTTTTCCAGTTCTGAACCAATCCGTTGTTCCATATCTAGTTCTAACTGTTGCTTCCTGTCCCACATATAGATTTCTCAGGTGATAAATAAGGTGGTCAGGCAATCGCATTTCTTTAAGAATTTACCATACTTTGCTGTGGTCCACACAGTCAAAGGCTTTTGCATAATCAATGAAGCAGAAATAGAAATTTTTCTGGAACTCTCTGGCTTTCTCCATAATCCAGCACATGTTAGCAATTTTGGTATCTAGTTCCTCTGCCCCTTCGAAATCCAACTTGTACTTCTGGGAGTTCTCCGTCCACATACTGAAGCCTACCTTGGAGGATCTTGAACATAACCTTGCTAGCATGTAAAATGACTGCAATTGTATGGTATTTGGAGCATTCTTCAGCACTGCCTTACTTTGGATTGGGATGTAGATCTTTTCCAATCCTCTGGCCACTGCTGAGTTTTCCAAACTTGCTGGCATATTGAGTGTAGCACCTTAACAGTGTCATCTTTTAAGATTTAAAAAATTTGACTGGAATGCCATCACCTCCACTGGCCTTGTTGTTAGCCATGCTTTCTAAGGCCCACTTGACTTCACTATCCAGGATGTCTGGCTCAAAGTCAGCAACCACAGCTGAGCATCCTTTCGGCTTTCGCCCTTCCACTTCATTAGCTCTGGAACTACTTGTACTTCTCCTTCACTCTTCCTCTGTAGCATGTTCGACGCCTTCTGACCTCAGGGGCTCATCTTCCAGCGTCATATCTTTTAGCCTTTTGTTTCTGTCCATGGAGTTTTCTTGGCAAAGATACTGGAGTGGCTTGCCAGTTCCTGCTCCAGGAATCTGTCTCTACCTGATAATATTTGAGAAGGAAAAGAATGTCAATGCACTTTGAGGTTAATTTATTTTTTGGGGTGTGGGAAAAAACTCCCCTTTTTGCCTCCCCCCCAAAAAAAGCCCCCTTAGTGAAGAGCTCCTCTCTTTCAAGCCTAAATAAACACCTCCCTCACGGGTCCACACTTGTGCCCCAACCCCACCCCTTCTTCACTTTTTTGCCTCTCTTGGCTTCTTCTGTGGCTCAGAGGGACCTGCCCAGGAAGAGCAGGAGACCTAGGTGGGGCAAAAGGCCCTGTTGCCACAGTGGCAACAACTTTTCGGTCCCGCTGCCATATTGGGCATCTGCATTCCCAGCATGCATCACATGCTGGCCTCAGTCAAGCCTCTTTGAGCTGGGCTAATGCTCCGGTCCAAAGGGCTGAGGTGGACGTAGAGAAGCAGAGAAAAACAAGTGAGAGTGGCTCTTTCAGAGGGGGAGGAGTGATGTGCACACATAAAAGGAAATTCTGCCCAAAGGGGTACAGAAATAACAAAGAACTCTAGGTTGCCTGCAATTCCAGTTCACATTAAAATTATCTATCAGTGAGCCAAAAGGATTAAAATTAAACAGCACTGTGTATACCATATTTAACATAATAAATATAAAAATAATTGCAACTAAAAAATAACTGTGTCAGCCCACCAGAAAACATTTCATTACCCCTTTGAGGGTCATGACCTCCAGGCTAGGAACCTGTGGGATATAGTGAAGGACTAGGGTCAGGGTTAAGGTCACAGTAACTCAGGTGTTTCATTTTCATTTCTAAAGGAAGTCATGACCTTGGGTTTATGAGAGCTGAGCAGGGCTGCTGAGGACAGGACATTTTAAAGACCTCTCCTTCATAAGGTTGCCAAAAGTCAGAGGCAACTTGACAGCATGTCACAACAACAACAATTCAAATGTGACTTCATAGCACATAACAACAAAATATATAAGTTATAGAACTTAAATAGAATGTTATTGACAAGAACCATTAAGCACAGTTTTTCTCTCTCTTCTACTGACTGTATCTTGAAACTTGGGTCATGGCCTTCTTAAGTGTAAAGAGAAGGTGCTTTTAAAACTGGGCTGGGTGAGGAAGTCATGGCTTTCTGTACTGGATGAATCTGACTCTCATCAGCCTTCACTATTAACTATTCTGGCTATGGCAGACATGTGTATAAGCTGAGCTGCAGTTAGTCACACACCTTGAGAAAGAAGAAGAAAAAGGAATCTCAGGAAAGAGTAAGAGAGGGTGCTTCTTTCACTGGCTACCTGCTGTTTCCCAGGAGAACTCCCACCCTCAGCCAGCAATAGCCATCTACCCACCCCACCCCAAACTATTTCAGCTTCTGAACTTTCGGATAAGCGGAGCTGCTGCTGTGGCAGGGCCACAGTTGAAGGAGGCAGCATCCAAGGGCGATACCTGGGGAAGTCAAGTGTGGCGGTCCCACGGTAAGGGAGTGAAGAATACAAAGTTTGTTCCTGCTCATTTGCCTGGTTCTGTTGTGTGTTTGGGAAAGGATTTTCTACCATAATGGAGTAAAGTGAAGGTTTTTCTCTCTGTAAAGACAGAGAGGCTCTTACTGCTATATAGGACATTACAGTTATATAAGGCATATATGGAAATAAATGACCATTATGGCACTATGGGAAAACACAATGCAACAGCATATTAGTTGCCTGCAAGCTGTTCCCTCCATTCAAATAGTCTGCATAGCTGAGGTAACTGGCCTTCGGGGTTTGAAATGCTGCTGCTGAATACCAAGGTATTGAATGGGAACGCAACAGTGATTTAGGATTTGATCTTGGGTAAATATGATGATTGGGTTGGAAGAACTTGGGGTGGGGTTCATCTCCCTTGTCTACTTGACTTCTCAGTGCAACAGCAAGCAGAACCATTCTGCCTTCCCAGGTGATTCTGTGTTGAAATCAAGCTTCATCCTGGCTGTATTGGTTGTAAAACCTGTAACACAGTAAATGTGGATTTGGCTCCCCTTAACAATAAGTAATTGGGCAGTGCCTTTGCCCAAGAACCTCCCTTTTCTCCCCTTTTCACTCATCAGATCGTACCATTTTACTTTCTTCAGTCTCCCTCTCTGTGCAGGACCAATGTCTTCATTGATACAATCCTCCTCACATAACTGAGATCTGTCTCAAGAGTCCTTCTCACTTTCTGTCACAAACAATAAGATTAGCATGCAGTTAGAGACACAGCCTTCTCAGCTACATCCTTGGAATAAGTTTTTTTTTAATTGACCTTTGTCTTGCCCATTCAATCCTGGCTTTTGAATGGATCTTGAAGCTTTTCTCCAAGGCTGCCTTTGACTGATTTCATCGGTTGACAGTACAGTTTCATAAATAACTTCTGAGCGTCGTCTTCTGATGTGCCAGCCACCTGGAATTTGTCCTTGATTTCTCACTTTTTCTGTACATTGCTTTGGGATGGTTATAGCCCTAAAAAGTGGCTCATGCGCTGGGTCAGAAGAATGGCTCTGCAGGTGTCCATTCGGCATCGGCTTTGATGGCTCTAAGTCAAGAAATAGTTTGTCCTTTGAGATAACATTTTGTGTTATGGCTTTTAATCTTTCTTTTATCCTTCTGTATGATCCATTTCAAAGAGAAGACAAATGTTTAAAAAGAAGGAAATGTTATTTTTTTTTTTACCAGAAAAGATAAAATATACTGTTAAAGAGTGGCCCAAATCCTGTTGCTTAGGGTAGTAAAATGTGCTGCAGTAGGCCCACTGAATCAGTGAGGACTTGGTGAGTCAATTCCTTTGCAAGTTCCATTGAGCCAAACAGGT